GGGCCCCGTTATGTTCACGTGTGAGGATATGGAAACATGTCACTTATTAGTGAACATTTTCCATATCCTTACACGTGGATATATCGATGACGTCACTTGGGACGTTTTTCCGGTCACTTTGATGCGCGTTACGATAAACTTCGTTTGTAGATGTGTCTATTTGGCCATTCTGCGAGGTTGAGGAAAAAACTGGGAAAACATTTGGTAATGTCAACTTGACTCATTTCCCCCCAACTTGAAATGGCTAATATATTAAATAAAAAGACTGATTATACGGTATGCTTGAAGGTATGGAGTTTATCTTTTCAGTGGTGTTAAAGAATATTTCACCACTCGAGGATATACTTCATATCTTCGCGCCATCGTGTAATATCCTCTGTAAGTTAGATGAAAAGAATAATCGCATAAGTCCGCCATCTTGGATCTTATTAAACTTACTTTTTCAAGTGACCTATAATTCTCTTCAATGTGTCATAATTAACTTTGGGCAACTTGACAAGAGCATCTTTAATGGCATATAACTTTGTATCACGATCAGGATGACCTAAAAACAAAACCAAATATCATTAGCAAGGCACAGCCAGCGACTGTCCACTAATATCGAGCCAAATCGAAAATTCGCGGCAACATCGAAAAAATCGTTTTCGTTTATTTTTGGTTCAGAATTAGGCATTAGTGAGTAAGTAAACGTGTTGGGTGTTATTTCTTCGGAAAAAAAATTTGCCGAGAAATATCGCACAATAGCACAATAACCAAATGATTGAAATTCCAGAGTTTGTCGTCAGAAAGTAAGCAAAACAAAATGAAATTTTGAACTTTGCCCGAAAATTATCCTATTTTGCTACGACTTAGGGGTAAAACTTGTTGGTAAAACGAGTTTCAAAATCCCCATATATTTTGATACATACGAATAACGATTTTGAAAAAAAATATCAAGCTACCAGTTTTTTTTTCACGTTCTGATCACGTGCACTGGTTTCTTTTCGCCATTACAACAACGTGCGTTGGGCTTCCTGTGGTGTTGCGGACTTACTTACGGACCAGGGATGAGGAGCATCTACTAGTATCTCTGTTACGAATGCCCTATGCCAAATGCTGGTACTCTCTCCCACTTCACTCAGTAAATAATTCCAATCCTCCTTTTAAGCCAACAAGAAACTGGCTTTCGTCAAGATAATAAAGGTTTTGCTCTTCAACAAAGGTTTAAATTTCAAAGTATTTGAAAACTTACATGATGCCATGATAAATGTCTTGTACATATTGTCAGGGACGACAGGCTCCGGTAGCACACGAAGGTACTTCTTTAGAGTTCCCGTCACATCGTGAACACTGTAATCGTCTAGTGTCAGCATTACTCGACTAGCATCTGAAAGAAACGATACAAAAAACTAGTAAGACGAGCCATAGAATTACGATATAATTGCCATATACACTATTGAACTATTGAATACGAATACACAAATATGTAACGAGATGAAAAAACATGAAAATTGCAAATAAATCTGTACCCATTGATGTATATCTCGCAAAGCAATTTTTATAACATTTACCTGTTGAATATGAGGTTGTGTTGTTTTGGAAAATGCTAGTAAAATGGCAAGTAGTATATAATATTGTCATGAATGTGAATGAAATGAGCATCATTCTTGGTGACTGGCATGTAATCATTCGTAAATGGCAATTACTTGAATCTTGGAAGACAATATTTGTTATCAGAAGCAAATTCTTCAAGCAAGGACTTCTGGGGGATAACGCAACTTTTATTTTAGAGGTGTTAAATTATGGAACTCTTTAGTGTTTTGTCGTTTACTATCAATTTTTAGCATCGATCAATGCCGAGCAAGACTCTAAGCGCCTGCAAGATCTATATGCTCAATCACGCGATTAATTTACGGCATGCGGAGACAAATTGTATACAGTCAATTCAAAAACGTTGTCGTCGACCTGCTCAAGYCTACGCGACTGGACCGAAAGGAATATGGGTAAAAATCACTAAAGCGATTAAATTATTCGTTCTGAATAAATTGTTCCCGCTAGTAATAAGATAATAATGGCGAGATAATCCATCAAATGCATGTCTTTGGGTTTAGGGAAAGAAAAACAAAGTAGTTATGATTCAGTTCACAATTCCGAAAATATGAAGGCATTAAAAAAAAGTCTCCTTCAACACTTCCAGAATGGGTAGGGGTGTTCCGCTGGGATTCTGAAAGGGGTACCCTGTTTATGACAAAAAAACCCAAATTTGTAGACCCTGTTCATGACAAAAGATATAATTAATTGCACTAAGTGCTCGTTTCAATTATCATGTCATCTCGCGTCTCGTTTTTTACGACCATAATAACCAGTTTCGGTCAATGCGAAAGTAGAAACCCTGAATATGACAGGAAACTCAGGAAGAACTTCGAACTTGAGTGAAATTGCATACCCTGYTTATGACAAGAAGCTCGAAAAACCATACCCTGTTCAGCGGATCATCCCCGTATAGTCCATATATGGGAGAACCCCTCCCGGGGGTGGGGGGGCGAGATACCATTTGACTTCATGCTCACCTTGGTTGAAAGATTGTGTCAAGGCTCTGATTTTAGCCTGGTTTCCACTAACTCGGTAGACCCCTTCTGCTTGTAACCCTAGAAGGCGAAAGTTAAACATTTCAGTGAAACAATTAAGGTAATGAAGGCCCAGGCAAGGACAAAGTCCGTTGCGTAAATTTCAAAGCCGCTGTGTTAATTTGAGTAATAAATTTGCATGTTATTATTGTACTTATCTCATCATTCTCGACTTTCAAATCCCCATAATCCTTTGCGTCTTTGGGGGGGGTAACCAGGGGGTAAAAACCCACTTATTTTGCTGAAGGCTGATCAGACAATGTTGACAATACCTTGTCTGGTATCCAAAGATAAAATGAAGAAGTAAAAAACAGAAAACGATAGAAGATTGAAGACGTTTAAGGTAAATTTTGAACATTTTTTCGTAAGTCAATACATTTTCTGTAAGACCAAAACACTTGATGATCTGTACACGCAAAAAAAACTTGGAATAAACTGATAATCAGTATTGTACAGATAAAAGCAGGTATAGTATAAATTCAATTGAGAAACATTTCGATTTGGGACAGTTTTTTGATTGGTTACCTCCCAAAAACGCAAGGCATTATGGGGATGTGAAAATCGAGAATAGACTTACAACTCCAGAGGTCCTGTGCAACTTTTTTAGCAACTGGTCTCGCAAAGCAAGAGCAAGGGAGCACGCCATTCAAAGATGTAGCGTTGTAAGTTGCCGAGGTGAGCAAGGGAGCACGGCAGACTGGGTCTTGTTTATACGTTTTCCCGACTGTAATACTCTATTTCCGGCTCAGGTTAGGCTTCGATTTTATGCAGAATATGCAGAATAAGGTCCGTGGAATTTCAAAGTGTTTGTATTGTTGAAGCTGTGCATTCTTTACTTTACCGTTGGTATTTGTGAATATTTAGACACTGATACGAGGCTAAGCCTGAGTAAATGAGTCTGTAATCAATTCTAATTTCGACGCCATCTTGAACGCTTACGCGGTTTTCCCAATTAGTGTATCGAAGGCGCGGGTCGCGAGCGCCGGAGTCCCGAGCACGTTAAAAATCAAACTGCCTTTGGCGAACTCGTGGATACTACCCTGCGCCCCCATGTTTCTGTGAATTTTGCTGACTTATGTTATTATTAATTATATTTGCTTTCGTTATGTCAGACACTTATGAAGGATACTTGTGTTTATCTTTTGCTATAGTTTTTAAGTTTCTTTACATCAGGAAACGATTGTAAAAAGAGGTTTCTTTACGGCATCGACCAGCAAAACATCCCAATAAATATTCGCAAGATAACAGTGAACCAACAGAAAAACTAGACTGATGGGAAAACTGCTATGTCAACTGATATTTTAAAGAATATAGTCGTCACAACATTAGCATAGCACTTGAGCCTTAAAAAAATAATTGCAGTTCAAAAAACGGTTCAGCAAATTCAAAAGCCAACCCTACATTAAATAAAATAACATAAAATTGCTGTACTAACATATACCCAATAGAAGTTTTCCAGTTCTCAAAAGTCATATTGACCATCTAAGCATGTTCCTAACAACGGAAAGTGTTTATAGCAATTGTTAGCCAGCATCATCTGATGGAAAGTCTGAGATTTGACTCTCCTCTCTCTTTTCTTCCCTCGGACTTTCGTAACGGTTTTCGGATCGTGACTAATGGGGAAAACCGCGTAAACATTCAAGATGGCGTCGAAGGACGAAAAACAGCCGGCAACAAGACCCAGTCTGGCGTGCTCCCTTGAGGTGAGGTGTTACACTGCAACACGATCGGAGCAACTTGCAAAATTTTTTGGCTCCTCGGATAGAAATGAGAAAAGTGCGTATGCATTCTTGAAAAAAATGCCTTAAAATGGTGTTGCCGGTTGCTGCAATCCGTTGCGAAAAGTAGGACTGAGTTGCTACGCGGAAAAAAAGAAAAGAAGCGAGACTACCCCTGTTGCACTGTGCAATTTTCCAGCAACTAGTGCGTTGCGATATAAGTTGCTGGACAAATTGCAGTGCAACAGGGCCTTAAGTATAATTACTGTTTTAGGGTTTCTTGGGTTTGGGATCCCTGTGGCACAGAGATAGCCGTTAATCGATGTAGTTCAAAATTTGTTCCTAAAATCGCACACCATGGACACCATGGACACCATGGATACCATGTTACAACAACATCAATGAAGGTCAACCGGAAAGCACATATTAAATATGGCACCATCAATCAATAAAGCATGCGTAAAATGGATAAGCAATTTGTATAATTTTGCATTCATGGAAACTTTCAACAAGAGGATTGTTTTGTACCACAGGCAGCCCAAACAAGGTTCCTACGTATGGTTTATAAGGGAATGTATGGAAGTTATGACATTAAAATGTTTTACTCGACAATTTGCTTTAAAACTTGCTCCAGTCGTTGCTTACAACTTATACAGTATTCTGGCGAAGTTTCAGCGCGGCGATCGGAGGCCGCGTGTTATTCTTAAATCCGCTCTTCTCTAACCAAATAATAGGAAGGCGGGAGACTTACAACCCAATATCGATCACATTACGCTAGGAAATCCAAAAATGGTTAAGCCTCGAACCACAACATGTCAGAAAAATGATCTTCATCCTAACTCCCATACGTTGGCACTCGATCATGACTAAAATATGTGATTGTCTAAGATGTGTCGGAAGGTGTATTAAAACCTTAACATATTGAAAGAATAAAACGATCCATCGATCTATACGAGCCAACCGAAAATTCCCCAAAATTAAAAATTACATGAAATAAATAATAACAATAATTTGAATTGAATTGTTGATTCGGATGTTTTAGTGCCCCTGGTCCAGAGAAGAATTCCTGTGTTTTTATCTTGCCAGCCTTACCGTAAGTTTCAACAAACTGTAGGCAATGTGCCACCAAATGTGGAATACCATCTGATCCTAACTCCTGGAAACCGAGGTGCACGTTGAATACCTGAAAATCAAAAAGAGAAAATTATAGTAAATTGAAAAACTTTATAAACCCAAAAGAACTTTTTTTWAAATTCTCTACTTCATTAATGAAACATGAGGACAAAATGAGTTCAAATAAAGCTTTATTTACGACTTTTCTAGTCGAGCTACAAGCAAAACGTAATTCGACCCTAAGGTGCGTGCGAGGAGACCGAATGTCTACAGACATAATTACGTAAGCGAAAATCCGAATTCCGGGGTTAAGAACTGCTGGAACTGAAACTGGATATTTCCCCCCTATTATTATCAAATTATGGCATAAACGTTTTGCCCAATTTGGCTTTCATTGTGTATTAGTAGTGTATTAAAGTCTCTGAAACCAGGTAACCCGGTGTACCCTGCCACCAGGGCCGCTTGTTGAGCATGAATCATGAAGGATCATTTCACCTGTTTGTTCTTTATCGCAGCATACCATGATTCTAGCTCTTCGTCTGATTCTCCTTTCAATGTATAAGCCCTGTAAAATAAAATAAGAAAGGTTACGTATTTGCAACTGATTACAACTGAAAACTCTTCCTTCTTTCCTTCTTTGCCTGAAACGAGTTCTTTTTGGCTATATGTCTCCCGAAGGTTTCCTCGCTATATGTAACTTATACCAAGATTCAAAAAAAAAGGACACAACATGAGATGAGCGGGAATATATAAGAGTTAAACAACCTCTCGCTGCCTCTACAACAATTTTTTTCGGATTTTCTTACTTTTCAGGAGTGACGATATCCAGGGTCCTGGTGTCCTCACTTGTGTGTAATTCCAGTGATGTTACTGCTGCCAGGTCAAGAACACCTATAGGATCTTTGTCCATTTGCTGGTAACAAACCCAATGTAAAGAGAAGCTTTGTTAGGACATACCTTTTGCACTTGTGGAGACGCGAAACTGAGAAACGAGTTATTGTGAGGGGTCTGAATATGCAAATGTATCACTCACTCACTCGCTCACTAAGATGATAGCAGATCGATACTTTGACGTGTATCAAATCCGGAGAACTATCTTGAATGCCGTAAAGGAATTAATTTTTAGTTCGTTCTTATTAAAGAAAGTTAAATATGCTTTTTATACTTATTTTGTTCATTATTCTTCTCTAGTTTAAGAGCCTATTTTTTATTTATTTTTAATACATCGATCTTTCCTTGATTCTTTTGATGATCCGAAGGTTAAGCTATGTGCTAGTGTGAGCATGTTCAGTGCTAGCCTACCCTGGTGCTAGACATCATCCCACATCGTTAAATGCAATTCTAGTTTCTCATATAAATAATTTGTCAACCCTTTATCGGATAAGAAGTTCGTACGTGTTTGTATGGATCCCGAAAGTAAGTTTCGCGTAACGCCGTTCGTAAGTTGATGACGATTGATAAACATTTAATTATGATCTACTAACATCTTAGTGAGTGAGGGAGTGAGTGGTACTTTTAACTTTTCAGACCCCTTACGATAACTTTTTTCTACGCTTCGCTTGAAGACAGGTGGATGATAACATTTCTGAACTAATTTGTATACAATATTAGCTTATTTCACAATATAGGTACGGATATAGACACTGTCCTTATTGAGTATGAATCAAATTGTGACTTTCTTTCTAACGTTATGGATTTTTTGATATGAAGCTAAACGACCCCTTTTGTTGTCAGAAAATATCGATGAAAGCGGCATTCAAAAATCGTCGAACAATTTTTTTCTAAATGAAGTCACTAAAAGATGTATCTTTTACAAATATTYTCCTTTAATTTCATATGCATTGAAGGGTTTTAAGGCAGTCAAATAAAAATAAGTACGCTCACAACTAACAGCACACAACAAGGAATAACACGGAAGTCAAGCGTGAATAATCAACAAGAAGCCGTGAGCGAAAATAGTTGTTAGCGTACTTATTTTTATTTCACTGCCTTAAAACCCTTCAATGTATCAACCCTTCAATTTATCATTTTTGAAACCTTTAATCCTTTCCTGACATTGTGTGAAAAGCGCGTGCAGGTCGAGTTATTCAAGACGAAGTTGTAGCCGTTTCAATGCGGCTAGGTGTGCCATACCAAAACTACCCAGAGCCTCCTTAATCCCAAATTGAACTCGAAGCTGTATGATTACCTATTCTTGGTTTTCACGTGACGTCACGAGCGGATTAAAACTTAGTGTCCGCCAAATTGGTGCACAGGAAGCTCATTAGCATATGTCAAATCACACACGTGCGCTTATGTTTTGATTCGAATTATGCGATGTCCGAAGATTTACTCGTCCATATTTCAAAAAAAGATACCCAAGAACAGAAAAGAATTGAAGATACCTCTTCAATTGCCTTATCTGAATACGCCAAAAAGCTTGAAAGTCACATTCGAACGAGATATTTTAAAAAAATCGAAGGTATTGGAGTCGACCCCGCGTGTTTACAAGGCGAGAAGTTAGATGCAGAATGTCTGCCACCGATCGAAGCCACCGATCTTCAGTCGGAAGACCGCGATGTGTGTCGAATTTTTTGAAATAAACGATTTATCTATCTATCTATCTACCCTGCGGGGAATCGAGCTTTTTTTGTGTTCCTGAAGAATGATTTTTGAAATGAATCTTTCAAATCTACGAGTCTTTCAAGGGGTATATAAGATACGTATTTTAAAAATCGGGTAAACTAATCAGTAAACTCAAATCAGCCGACAAAATTAGTCTATCCAAACTTGTTTTTGATACGATAATACGAACTTTGCTTATTTCAAATGAACATTTCACTTATTGAAAGTCTAGTTTAGATGTTTAAGGTGGCTGCCTACTTTTGAACGTTCGATTTGAGCCCACGATGAGCGCGCGCTCAAAAACCGCTGAAAAATCTACAAGATTTTATTGAAGAACCATACGCGTTTT